GGGCCGAGTAAAAACCGAGGGCGGAGGAGGACGGCGGAGGAGGACGGTGGAGGCGGCGGCGCGCCCCGGCCCCCAGAGTCCGGAGCGGGGAGAAAACTAAATCGGCGGCGCAGCGGCGGGTTCAATGTCTTCTTGTTTTATGGTTATTTTGTTCAAATTTTTGATGGGGAAAAAAAATGATTAAACAAAAAAAACTTTGTCCGACCTACCGACCCTATGCTAAAATTTATTGTTACCGGAAACACACTATCTTTTTTGTTTGGCCTAATCTTGGCATAGACGATTGATGGTGCGGAGGTGGAGGTGGATTGGCCTAATCTTGGCATAGACGATTCGATGGTGCGGAGGTGGAGGCTCCGCCAAGAAGAACTGAGCCAGTGTAAAAAGACAACCAAAGGTTTTAAAGGTGGGCCGTCGTGGTGTTATAGATTCATGAAATGGAAACCTGCCTATTAGTGACAGGTTTCCATTAGACAACAGGTATTAGTGACTCAGCTGCTGACACAACGCACAACGTTGTGTCAGCAGCTCCCTCCCAATTACGAGGACAAACTTGCTTCGTTCCGCACATTCACACAAACAAAGATAGCGGAGAATTCCATCAGCCCAGATGAAATAATAAATATGGATGAAGACCCTCTGACATTTGATTTGCCCCTCACTCGGACTGTAAATAAAAAAGGTGACTTCCCCCGTCATACTGAAAACAAGCGGCCACGAGAGAACACATTTTACCTGTGTTTTGAGCCGCGCAGCATCGGGCCTAAAGCTGCCAAGATGATCATTTTTAAGCGGCTGAGTATAGAGAGAATTTCATATATATTTTCCCATTTATATGATTTGCATTATTCTATTTAAAGCCTAGTGGGCTGCAGTATTTCTCCTCGTAATTACACAAATGCGCATCAAGATCTCTCTTTGTCTGGCCTCTTATGTGTTTCAGCGTAATTTCGTTGTGCAAATGCATTGATCATGCTCATAAAAATATGGAGATTATTTTAACCTTAAGAAATGTTGCGTTTTTTTTCTGCGGGGGTTCAGCGGGGGACCGCGACAGCGGCCTAACAAAGGAGGCTCCCGCGGCAGGGACGCAGAAGCAAACCCCCGCCTACTCATTGGCCAGCGGTTTATAGTACGGTGCGGCGCATATAATTACAAAATTGATTTTTCTTCATAAATCTGAGCATGCGGCTCTTAATCAGGTGCAGTCTGTAGCCCGGAATTTACAGTAGTTTTTTGAGTTTTTTTGCAGTTTTATTTTGTATTTTTTGAAAGCAGCTACATTCATTATCTGATTTGCTTATCCTCACGAGGGTCATGGGTATGCTGGAGCCTATCCCAGCTGTCTTCAGGCAGTAGGCGGCTAACCTGTGCTCCCCGAAAATAGCTTCGTTGTTACTTGAAATCAAATTCGGTTCATTTGTTAATGAATAAATGTGTTACATTCAAATCACACTTCTTGTTTTATTCCCTGTAACTTCCTTGCGGCATTGCAAAGGTCGCTAAACATTGACAAAAATGCTTGAGAATATTTCTCTTGTTTAGTTAACACATTCAAACCTGCAAAGGGACAACAGATAGAAACTAGTAAATGGCTGTAATCAGGCATATTACATGTAAATGTTCACTCAACGTAAACTGTCAACGCACCAACGGCAAAAGTCATCTCGGTCTTGTTGCGGCGTGGCTTTCAACAATCCGTCAAATGTCAGAATGTGAAAGCGGCCTCGGGTGCAAAAAAAAGGGCATCGGTCCACTGCCCGAGAGACCTGGGCTAAATCATCTTGCGGTCTCATATGAAGCCCCGATCCCAATGAGGGGCCAATGTTTGCGAGTGTTGACAAAGGAAGCAAAATGCACTTATATGTCAGGGTTCGTCATTGTTTGTTCACAGTCACAAACATTTCGGAACTATTCAAGACATTCACCAACAATTTTGATGTTTTTTCTGTATTGTCATGTTCAAAATTTCCTTGTGATAAGCAAAGTAGAGGCGGATGAATGTCTGGCTAACGTCTGGAGGTTGTTTGGCGAACGTTTGCGACCCTGAACGAATACTGATGAGAACACATTTGCTGCCCTGGAAAACACTCACAAACAATCACGCCTCAGTGGGACAGGGGCTTTACAAGTCAGAGGCGGGCAATACATTTTTCGATGCTGCCATGCGAAAAATTGAAAACGGTGGCCAAGGGCCACACCAACATGCGAACAGAATTGTGTGAACTGCAAATGTAATGTTTTTTGTTGGCTTGTTTTTCTTGAAAGCACTAAAGTGCTCCCAAACTTTTGAACGGTCGTACACACACTGTATATCAGTGGCGTTCCAACAAGACCTTCTCTGAAGGCACAAACACTATCAGAAAAAAAACCCTAAATTTACAACTTAAATGAAATGGGAAAAATTCTTTCCGACAGTCTTTTATCTTCATAGGTTATTTAAAATTATTTAAATAGACATATTGCTCCATCTTGTGATTGGATCGTTGATCAGTTAGTGTTTTCTAACCTTGCTGATCCGCTCAGCCATCAACCTCAAAAATCCTTAATGTGTAAAGCCGAATTTTTTTTTTTTTGTGATTTCAATCATCTTTGTAAATCAGATCTAAATCATTCTTGGTTGAACAGTCACAGTACAGAACAAGAACATCGCTAAAGAGATGGTTGTAGCTTGATCAGTCTGAGCATGGACATTATCATCACCGTCACAACTTAGTTTTTCTTAAGTGGGTATTACACACAAAAATAATGATGTTACCTCAAAGATGGGAAGGATACGACAGTCTCTGACGTAACGCTCATATGGGTAGTTCTTTGTATAACCCAGACCTCCAAGAACCTGAAGAGCTTCGCTGACACAAATCCAGCCTCCCTCTGAGCTGAACACCTTGAGAGCAGAAACAGATTACATCATGAGAAATGTTTGGTGTTTTCATGTCAAATAAACAACAAAAACAAGAACAAAGTCCATTATCCCTGTTATGTTTGAATGTATTGCATGTTTTAAATGTGAACATTTGTATTCTAATTCAGTGATTCTTTCATGTTTCTCTTGTTATATGTTGTCTTGAGAGGGAAGAAATTTCATCTGTGCTGTATGTGCAACATACAACAGCACCAGAGGCGATTGCTCTGAGACTGCAAGGGAAGCTCAGCTTCCCCTAAAATGTCAAAAAATAAGTGATGAAATACTGTATATGTGTGTACACACAATTGTGTGTACATGTCATTTTTGTGGCAATAAAAATATTTTGGAGGAAAAAAATATCTATAAAGCAGCATTCAAGTGCCCTTGGTTGTCTGTTGATCGCTATTTATTGTTTTATTTGTTTATATTTATACATTTATGTCTGTTTTTATGCAGTTCGGTTTCACTGCCCTTATTTTTAGCTGTGTGTGTTTTCAATGCACTGCATGTTTGCACTGTGGTTGAGAGGAAATACATTTCATCTGTGCGGTGTGTTGTACATAGAACATATTTGACAGTAAAGCTGACTTGACTTGACTTTTATTGTGTTGATTTGAAGTTAGCTTTATTTAGTCTCGGTTAATTTGCAGAAAAGCCACTGATACTGCATCAGAATATTCTATCACAATCGCTTTTATCATATCGAACTGTATCGTTCTAAACGAGTGATATATCGCTTTGTTTCTAATCGTCATGCCTTAAATAAATACATGTCCTATTGGTAGAACAAAAAACACGTATTACACCCCAAGTGGAGTGTGAACACTTCACTCCTGCCCTGAGGAGATTGGCAATAATGTTTCTGTCATTAATTGCTCTTGATACCTTTGGTCTGGCACTATCGAATGTTAAAAGGGGACATCTTGGGCAACGAGAAACGTGATAGGAGGAGCCAAGGTGAGGGCTAGGGACAGCATTTAATCCCCTACGTTGGCATGTCAACATGCTGGCTAAAACTTGTCAGAGTGCCGGCAATTTTACGTGGTTAAAATCACTTCGACCATGTATGATGCCTTTGGATGCGTGGACAGTAGGCAGATAATGGTGTCGTGAGATTCCTGCATGCAGCGCTCACAGCATTGTATACAGTGGTGAGGTAAATGGCTGTGAACTTGCAATGCAAGGTGCGTAGCAAATACTCTACTTGACAGAGTAATGGCTCCCTTTAAGTCTACTGTTTGTGTACCAACCTCTGTTGATGTAAATACACAGTCCACCCCCATATTTCTTCCTCCAACGTGAGTCACGGACGGCTCGAAAAAGCTGTAGTTCATCAATTTTGGAAGGCTGAGTTGGTTTCCGGCATTGAACTTCATCTCGCTACAGCCAGCCAACTTCAGACGAAGTAAGGTCATTTTTTTGTCCAGTGAGAGAACAGTGGCTTGAAAGAGCGATTAGGTCAGCTAGCGTTTGGGCAAGCCGGCCATATGGCACTTTTAACCTCCTTTTGTTTCTGCGAGCAATGCCTCCATTGCAGCCAACTCCCAATGTTGTGCAGAGAGTACTTTTCAACATCGATGAAATGGCTGCCATTGAACTCTCTCTAAATTGGTATAGTTAGCCCGTGCTATATATATCACACGGTATTAGCACTGTGATGGCAGTCGGCTTCGAAGTCATAATAAAGGGGCTTGATCCTGGGATCATGACATACTGCTGCACCGGTGGCACCGGCATCTTTTAATTGTAGAATTGAAGCAGGATCTTGGCTTGCATTGCAAACTGTTCAGTAGCTATTTCAGAGTAAGACTCAATCTCATTTCAGGCTGCCATTGAACTCTATCTAAATTGGTATAGTTAGCCCGTGCTATATATATCACACGGTATTAGCACTGTGATGGCAGTCGGCTTCGAAGTCATAATAAAGGGGCTTGATCCTGGGATCATGACATACTGCTGCACCGGTGGCATCTTTTAATTGTAGAATTGAAGCAGGAGCTTGGCTTACATTGCAAACTGTTCAGTGGCTATTTCAGAGTAAGACTCAAACTCATTTCAGGCTGCCATTGGTCTCCCTTGGTGATCATCTTCGATACAGGTTGAAATTTATGGGTGCAGCAAAGGTGTTTTGCAAACAGGTGGACTGATCTCATCTTAGCTATTTGCAGATGATGTGTTCCTGACAGTATCATCAGCTTCTGACTTTTGTTGCGGTCGGGCTAGAATCACTCTTGTATGTTCAAAGGCATTGTTTCTCAAAAAATGGTAAACTGTGCCTTGAGGCTTCGGAGCAAAGCTTTCATACTGGCTTTAGGGCAGACATACAGCTACGTTTTACAGCTGGCCTGTGAACACCTATGCGCTCTGCCCCTTAATAGATCGATTTAGCACAAGGCTTTACAAAGACAAATATGTCTTACCTTGACCACAGCAGCCTCTAAAGAACAATCTGGTAGCCCGGGTCTGTCCATCATTCCTGATGTCAGGTATGCCATGCTCTCCATCACAAAGGCATTGAGGGCCATGACTGCAAATTTCTCCTGGATTAACAAGGCAGATACGAAATAAATCTTGTTAGACCGGGCGGCAATGATCACTGACCTGTTTTTGGTGTTGGGGACTATACCTGTATCATACCAAATTCACTTAAGCGTTTGTTAAACTGCTTCCTTGTTGCAGCATATTCAGAGGTCAATTCTACAGGGAAAGATAGCATTCATTTTAATTTCTTTGAAACTTTATTAATGCCTTTAGTAAATACAGTGGTACCTCGACTTTCAAATGACCCATCTTACGACTTTTTAAAAGATACCAACCAGCAGGTGCTGGGACTTTCTTTTTTTCATCTTGAGTTTTAAAACTTGAGATAAGAGCAGTAAATAGTGGCAACAAACTTCACAAGATAGTGAAGAGGCCTTCAAAAAAGAGGCCAAGTCTGAGCTTTATGTTGTTTTGGACATCTCCAGGTTGATCTTAAATATAAAAAAAGTGTTACATGTGTATTTAACCGAATCACATAAACGAATGCCCACTAGATGAATGCTAACACAGAATGCAAAACACAATTGAACAAAACTAACATGCTGATGATGATGATAAAACTCTTTAATCCAGGGGTGTCAAACTCATTTTTGTCATGGGCCACGTTGGGGTTACGTCTTCCCTCGAAGGGCCGTGACGCCAGAAAGCGAATAAACGTTTCATCATCACATCGCATTATTACTTGTCCACAAAAAACTTGATGGCTTACTAGTTTCAGTCAGATGGCTTACTAGTTTCAGTCAACTATTTCTTTGTTGTTTGTTCAATTATTGCTCTAGTGAGTGTAAACAGGGGAACAAAATGATTGCAAATCTCATTATTACACATGACAATGTAGCACTTCGTTACAGATTTTAGCAAGCATCCTGGAAGTTGACACCCACAATTTGTTTCAGTGGGCCACATACAATGATGTGGCGGAATGAATCTGGTCCCCGGGCCTTGAGTTTGACACCTGTGCTTTAATCAATGGATGCTTGAGCACAGAGGGTATAGCAACACATCGACAGACAATATAAAAATACACATAACAATGTTCTTGATCCTCTGCAAAAAAATAAAAATAAAATACTGTACTACTACTACAGTACTACTATTACTGGATCTTACTAAGTAAATGGGCTTCACTTGTATTGAGATTTTCTACCTTTGAGGTACCCAAAGCATTTTAACACTGTCTCCCCAATCAACAATTGACGGGTGCAGGGTTGAAATCAACTTTGATTTCTTTTAAATGTTTTTAATTTCTCTGTTAATGTGTTGAAATATTGTCAGCGTACATTCTTGTAGGTTCTGTAAACTTTGTTTGTTTTTGAATGTTGCGAACTGCTGTGTTTGTAAATGCTTGACTGTCACGTGTCTTTGCTTGTGTGAAGCATACTGAGTTGCCTTGTGTAGGCAACGTGCTATATAAATAAAACTGCCTTAAAATTTGTTTGAAGATTTGAAACCTTTGTGTGTGATAGATAGGCAAACACAACAGAAATCAGGAGGGGGACAAATACTTTGTCACGGCACTGGAAGTAGCGTGTCAGCACACCATCAATGAGTCAAGCAGAGCACTCAACAAAGTCACACAACATTTCTAGATTTTGGAACTCGGTGCACATATGAGGCGTGCCGCATTATTAGATGCCCTGTCTGTTTTGGTTAAAAATTAAGACTCTTAAGTGCGTCTTATGGTCGTGAAAATACAGCAATGGCATTTCAATTGATTTTACCCGAGAAAGATGATTTAAGAGGTGAGTATTTTGAGATATGAGCGCTGTCAGACAACAATTTAATCTCATAAGTCAAGGTACCACTGTATATCCAATAAATTAGTAGTCATACCAATCAATTTTTTGATCATTCCGGCTGAAGAACTTCCCATGCTGAATCTTCCAGAGTTGAGTATATTCATGGCGATCTGTTCAAATATATAAATAAATAAATTTGGGAAAAGCGAAACATAAACCTCAACAAGACCTTTGACAAGGCAAGTAAAGGATTACCTTGAATCCGTCCCCTATTTCTCCAAGAACATTTTCCAGTGGCACAGGAACATTGTCAAATGACACTTCACAAGCTGAAAAAAGAAAAAAAAAACATCAAGGAAAAAAATGAATTACAAAGGACATTCGAATCCACTGGATCATGACCACAAAAAAGTACTTGAGCAGTCTTACTGTTCGAGCCCCTGATGCCAAGTTTGTCCTCAGGTTTTCCACTAACAATGCCTCCAAAAGCTCTCTCAACAATAAATGCAGAAATCTTGTCTTTCTTTATGCCATTTGAAACTACCTCGGTCTTTGCAAAGACAGTCATGATGTCAGCCATTCCACCGTTTGAAATCCAAATCTGATCAACAGACAGTGTCAATTAGAGAATGAACACATCAAATACATGCTGAGTAACACCTTTTTCTTTTTACCTTGGATCCACTGAGAAGGTATTGTTTTCCATCATTTGACAATGTTGCTCGCATCTGAATGGAGGCTGCATCACTTCCACTGAAAAGATCAAATTTAACCTTGCTGGAGCAAAACTGAGTGGAGGGTGAAATAACTACGTACTCAATAGACATGGGCTGATATTCGATTTTGACAGTATGCTAACAATTAGCAAATATAGAACAGTATCACAGTATTAAGATTAAAGCCTCTGAATTGTCTTTTTTTTTAAATATTTGTGGAAATAAAAAGCATTTTTTTGCACTGTAACATCCTTTTTATTTTCAAACAAAACAGAATATTTGGTACATTAAGAAACGTAATACTGCCCTATGGGGGGCACACGCCAGTGCAAACTGCAGGCCAGTCCCAAGCCCGGGTAAATGCAGAAGATTTGCGTCAGGAAGGGCATCTGGCTTAAATAAAACTTCGCCAAACAATTATGAGACTTCATCCTAATAATTTCATTTTTGGTGAACAGTGACTGACGATTGGCACCATTAAACTTCACAGCGCCGGTGGAAATTGACCTTCTGTGGGTTGAAGACGGACGACTGGTGGAATGCAGGTTTCAGAGACAAAAAGAGAACAGAAAAGCACAAAACCACAGACCTGAAAGAGGGGACTTTGATTGGTGGGACTATGACTAAGGAGTTGGGCGACATGATCGTGAGGAGAAAGGTAGTGAACAGTGCTGTGAAAATAATATTTGCCAATTTCCTGATTTCTGTGTTCTTTGCATATTTATGAAATACAAAGGTTTCAGTGCATCACATCAATTTTAATATCACACAGAGACTACTCACGGAAATACAAATGGAGTTTCTAATTGTCAATTTAATGTATTAAGGCACATAAAAAATCCAAAACAAGCTGTCCTTACGTGAAAAAGAAATTGCCCCCCCCTGTCAAATCACAAAGTAACTGACCAACGACAGTTTTGGGAAAGCTGAGTTCAATTTCACAGAGCAACACCCTGGCACCACATTTGTTGAATCAAGAAATCACAAAGAGAATCTGTCAGACAGAGCGAGGTAGGCTACAAGATCTCAAGAAAAAAAACGCACCATGCCACGATCCAAAGAAATCCAAGAAATTACAAAATAAGTTCCCAGAAGTGGTTGACCAGCTAAAAGTACTCCAAGAGTAGGACGACGACTCGTCCAGGAGATTGCAAAAGAACCGAGAACAACAGCAAAAGATCTCCAGACCTTGCTGGCCTCAGTTCAGATCAGTTTTCATGACTCTACCATAAGAAAGACACTAGCCAAAAATGACATCCATGGGAGAGTTCCCAGGCAAAAACCACTGCTGTCCAAAAAGAACACAAAGGCTCATGTCACATTTGCCAAAAGACATCTTGATGATTGTCAATGTTCTGGGCCGTTATGGCTGTTACTCATCATGGCGTGCACGTGCGGGTCGATTGCGGGAGGTTAGTTGACAGAAAAGTCGATCTTCATTTAAAAAAGGCTGGGCACCCCTGATCTAGGACAATGGCGCTGAAGTATAACCCCTTGTAAATGTGTAAATATTGGCCAAAATTGGATGTGCAAAAAAATCATAGCTAATTTCATGTGCATCTTATGACAGCGATTTTGATGTCTCGGGGTGCTACACATGCCTCCCAATTTTCCTCGCCCTCGGCCAAACATACCTGGATTGGATTTTGTTTTTCCACTGAAGGTGGACCATTTTCTTTGTAATTGTGCAAGACAACTTGAAAATATCAAGATTTTCATCCCAGATGAGAGGGCAAATGTTTTTTGCATGTGTAAGGCCCCAAAAATGCAAGAATAACAACAAAATAATTTTTTTAATAGGGAGCAATAAAGGGCCCATGCAGCTCTAGCAACATTGTGGTACAGACAGGTGTACATTGGAATTGGAATTTTTTTGAAAACAAAGTACATCACATTCATATTGTTCTTTGGGATCTTTTTGTGGGGAAAAATGTGCAAATGGAAGGGATTTTACAGTAATAATTTGAGAAGAGTGTGACGACTTGAGCTATGGATAGACTGACAGACAGACAGACAGATATAGTTGAGAATTGGAAACAAGGTTTAAAAGAGTTTACCTTCCAGGCTCCGTCAAACAAAAAGCTGCAATGTGTTCCCCTGAGGCTAATTTAGGCAGATACTTCTTCTTCTGGGATTCATTCCCCGCAATAAGTATACCCTAAAAGATAGAATGACTGTCAGAAGATCAAAGTGCGGGATATATGCTTTCCCATTTTCACTGGGATTCTACATAAATGAGGTGACAATGTCAACATGAGGCATATGACAACATTTAAATTTTACCTTCAGTCCAATTGCTTGATGTGCAGCGAGTGTCACTGCAATCGAGCCATCCAATGAGATAATTTCTGCTAATCGTGCATACATGGTATTGGATAAGCCAAGACCTCCTGAAAATGCAAACACAATTCAAATTCTCAGGAGCCTTATTATGTAAAAACAATCATGAACCTGAAATGTATGGTTGATTGTGGATGGATCCTTTTGAGGTACAGCACATAAACATAGCATGTATTTTGGAGCATATTATGTAGGCCAGGGGGTGGCCAACCAGTCAGAGACTAAGAGCCATTTTTTTTACGATGTTACTGCAAAGAGCCACATCATGCACATGGGCACACATAAGCGTCACTCCATCCCTTCTTCACACACACACACACACACACACACACACACACACACACACACACACACACACACACACACACACACACACCTACCTCTGCTCAGTCACATTTACTGTAAATGTCACACACCAACATGATAATGACGGAAATGGACTCCTATAGTACTAAGATCACAGGCCAGTCATTTTCAACAATGAATATTGTGTACAATGTCTCACACACCCAAACTCAGTTCAACCAAGTCCACAAACAAAAATATAAGAACATTTTTCTCTTACTACGCATGTTGCTTAGTGCCTTAGTGCAGGGACTTCTGGCATACCTTCTCTTGAACAATCTTCTTCAAATATGACTTGCATTCCTTTGCTGCCACTCGATGTAGGCACTGTCGGCATGCGAGCTGCAGCGGTTACTTACTATTCGGGTCAGCCTGCCATATAGGGCAAACTTTTTTGTCCGAAGATCGACTTTTGAAGCGACCAACCTTCCACGATCGACCCGATCGCGCACGTGCAAGCATAGACACACACGCACGTATGCGGGCGCCCAACCATGCATTCGCGCACAAATGCACGCATGCCATGATGAGCAACAGCCCGAACATGAATGAAACCGAAACACAAACACATAAATGCGGTAATTCGCTGACTAACTTCGCGATTAGCGCTTCGCGCCGTTGTTTGCGCCTGAATGGTGATTCAGTTGTTATCTGACTGGTTGCACTGTATGTCAATCAAATAAAGGGATTGACGATAGCCTGACAAAGTAAATTCTGTGTATTTTGCGCAGCTGTTTGAATGGCAGCAACACCGCCGAGGCGATTTCGACGCCTGTCATGTGAAAGCCCGGGAGCCGCATTCAACCAGCCAAAGAGCCGCATGCGGCTCGCCAGCCACGGGCCACCCCTAATCTTGTACAACTCTCTGGCTTTGGAGCCATGCTTTAAGTCACTCCACTTGGTGCAACAACTCTCCAAGGTTCGATCACTCCTGTTTAATCGCAGACAAATGGTGAGATCTACACTGACGCGGGTGTTAGTTTTGGAAATTGAAATTTACAGGGTGATTCCATAATTTTCCATAGAATTGAGTGATTCTATTGATTTTCTTTTACTTGGAATAAAAATGTAACTGTTAATGCTACTTTTTTATTGTTAATGACATCTAGTGTTTAAGTTATAAAGCTACCATTTGAAATGATTCCGTTTTGTCATGTCTGTGATTTGAATTTTTTCTACAAATTTAAACAACTGAATCATCATCCTCTTGAGACGGTGATTCCATATTTTTCCCAGGGATTGTAGTGTATGTAAACCTCTGACAACAACTACGCATTTATGCTTGTCTGCTATCTGAACACTGTTGATGTCCCAAGCCAACAACTCAAAGCAATTATTTTGGGGACTGTTGGTGACTCCAATGTATGGTTTAAGAAGATAAAGAATTTAGCATTAACCATTTTCCATCTTACCATATTGCTCAGGAATCTGGATTCCAAACAGTCCAAGCTCTTTCAAGCCATTCAACGTTTCTGTGGGGATTCTGGCTTCTTGGTCTATCTTTGTTGAGTCAACTAGAATGAAAGAAGATAAAGGATTGCATAATTAAGTTATAAAGTTGCATATATGACAACCTCTGTATATGTATCAGGGACAGTAAATCAAATTGTTGAAGCTTTGTCAGTGGAATTCTTTCCCATTCTTGTGTGATGCACAGCTTCAGCTGTTCACCAGTCCAGGGTCTCCATTGTAGCATTTTACGCTTCATAATGCGCCGCACATTTTCAATGAGAGATAGGTCTGGACTGCAGACGGGCCAGTCTAGAACTCACAGTCTTTTACTACAAAGCCCTGCTGTTGTAACACATGCAGAAGCTGGTTTGGCATTATCTTGTAGCAGGGGCATCCATGAAAGAGATGTTGCTTGGATGGTAGCGTATGTTTCTCCAAAGCCTGTATGTACATTTCAGCATGGGTGATGCCTTCACAGACGTGTAAGTTTCCCATGCCATTGGCACGAACACAGCCCCACACCATCACAGATACTGGCATTTGACCTTTGTGTTAATAACAATCCGCATGTTTTTTTTTCCCCTCTTGGCCCAGAGGACATGACGTCCACAATTTACAAAAACAAATTTAGACGTGGACTCGTCAGACCACATTTTTCCACTTTGCATCACTCCATCTTAGATGAGCTCAGGCCTAGAGAAGCCGGCAGCATTTCTGGGAGATATTGATAAAATTCGCTTTGCAGAGTAGAGTATTGCGGTTGCACTTACGAATGTAGTGCCAAACTCTATTTCCTGACATTATTTTCTGAAGTGCTCTTGAGCCCATGTGGTGATATCCTTTACATATTGCTGTCTTTTGTTGATGCAGTGCCGAATTCAATGTTGGTTTTGCAGTGATTTTTCCAGATTCTCTGAACCTTTTCATGACATTATGGACCATAGATGATCATCACTATAGTAGCTCATGTGTACCGTTTTAAAATGCTTCTCCAGATTCCCATTCTTTGCCAGTGCCAAATTGCAGATGAAACAAACTTTGAATGAGTGTAATAGTAAAAAGAAAAAAAAAAAAAGCTATATTGCAACAGCTCTGATTGCAAGCTGCAATTGCAGACTGCTGACCGCTAACAACTTCCAGTGATGCAGGTAATGCCCCACAGTAGGTTAAAGGCAACCTGCTTTTCTTATTGTAGTTTTTTCACTAAACTGAAAATAATAGGACCCTTAGGGTGCAGTGTACATTGACACAAACATATATAATATTAATAACACGGACAGGGTCAGACAAATCTTTTTTTTTCCCATTTCCCCCTCCACCCTTCACGAACGACCCGGTACCATTCCGTGGGCTACTGGTCAATCATGATCGACTGGTTGCGCACCTCTGTTCTAGGACAAGGGTGCAAAAATCAAAACCCCTGTACATGTGGAAAAATGAGCCAAAACTGGACATTCAAAAATTCATAGCTTATTTCCTCTCCATTTTAGACTACAGCTCCAATGGACTTATATTTATGTCTGAACCCGTGACGCGAAAGAATGAAGCGCTTACAGGGATCAACCCACGCATGTACAATAAGGTACAATGTGAATTTGTACCTGTTGGTCTCCCGCGGGGTGGCCCGGTCGACCTCACAGTGCAGAGGTCATGGGTTCGATCCTGGCTCCGGCCTTGCTGTGTGGAGTTTGCATGTTCTCCCTTGCGTGGGTTTTCTCCGGGTCCTCCGGTTTCCTCCCACATTCCAAAAACATGCATGGCAAGCTAATCAGCCTCTAAATTGTCCCTAGGTGCGAGTGTCAGTGCGGATGGTTGTTCATCTCTGTGTGCCCTGCGATTGGCTGGCAACAGGTTCAGGGTGTCTGCCGCCTACTACCCGAAGACAGATGGTATAGGCTCCAGCATCCCCGCGACCCTTGTGCGGATAAAGCAGCTCGGACAATGGATAGATGGATGGATGGACTCCCACAATTCACGGCAAAACACTAGGTGGCGAGTTGCTGATCACGGCAAAATAACCAGTGTGTATGATTAATCACTGTCCCCTCACCTTCCTCATTGAAGAATTTTTCCACGGGAGCCACAAGCTGGTTGATCTCCTCCAATTCTTCTATTCCAATTTCTGGAAAGGGAAATACTTCAGCCTGAAGGAGAGAAACTGAGTGAGTTCTCAATACAGTATTCATAAAGTATTCATAAGTTAATAGCAGGTAGTTTAAGTTGCTCATCTCTGTTATGAGTAAGGAATTTCGCAGACTATGAGGGGAAATAATTACAGAGGGCAATTTAAACGTTTGCATTCTTTCAAACAAAATCATTTGGATCAATTTTCAGACGTTCAGATATTGTTGATATTACCTCGTTAACTTGACCGAGGAACAAGTCTTTGACATACGCGAGATTTCTTGAATAAGTTTTAATTGATCTCTGCTGTGGAAAACAACAAACATATTTTGGCCTTATACAGCGCAGCAGCTGCTTTCGGATCTGAAAATAGTTGGAGAGGACAAGTATTCTACTGATACTCATCATTGGCTGGGCGTATAAACCCGCTGCAAACTGCTAAGAGCGATGACTGAACACAATGTCAAAGGATCACACATATTATGGGCACATCTCATTTCGGTTTACCCCTCCGTCCTCTGTTTAAATCTTAGCTCCTCCCCCAGACACCGAGGAGCAGGTTCGGGAATAAACCCAGAACGCGCACTGCTCCACTCCAACCATTCGGTTATTCAAAGTGCCAGGGAGCGCTCTTGCCACTTCGACTGGGAACACGGTGCGCCTGTTGTCAGGTTGTACAAGTGGAAACAGTTAAAGCACGAGCTACTGAAATCGATGCATTTGAAAATCAACGGGAGGAGAGCGCGCTTTGCCTCGCAGAACACAGACTGTTTCAAAGTGGTGCACAGGCGTCACGGTCAATTTCCGAACGCGCCCTAGATTTCGTATAAACGTTGAGACTGAAATACAGGAAGTGAACGCAGCGCAGAGTCGCCATCTTGAACCAGGAGTCTCATAATCATTCCACTCTTCCACTTTTATTTCGACTGAGACTATCGATATATTCCAATACTTTCACTGCATACTAAGCCCCTGTCTCTCTCTCATACACACACGCACACACTAACTGTTTCGATCACATCGACACGTGGGCTTTTAGAAGACATCAGTGGCTCGCACTGATTTATAACCACATTGGGCTCATCTCATGTCTGTTGATTTCTGTCAACGCTCGAGTTCCCAGATTCATTGAACTCAACCCGGAAGTTGTTCTCGCGCTGCTATGTGTCTCCGTCCGTCCGTGGTCTACTTAGGACGAAGAAGAGATGAGATGAGCCCGAGCATTCTTCCTAACGTCATAAAATGGAGACGGTGAATGACGATGACGTCATAAAACTAGTCAGGAACACTAAATATACTGAAACAAATGGCAGCGGAGACAAACAAATCTAAGAAACCAAAATAACTATACTACAAAACATTTCAGGACGAGAATACGAATATAGAATCTTATTTCCTTTCATAGTGGTGGATTTTTCAATAATCTTAATATATCGTTCGACTTTTATACAAACACAAAAAGTAGGTCTCTGATTAATATATCGGCATTTATGTACAGGCCATTTAGCCAAAAATCTAAGAATAAAAATATAAAATATTTTATTATGCACAGTCCATCCCTTCATACACTTTCTGATCAGCTTTATCCTCACAAGGGTTTTGAACAGGTTGCCAGCCAATCGCAGAGCACACATTGACGAATAATTTATGCAGTCATTGAAGCAAGCTGTTTATGTTTCCACCCCTATAACGTTCACATTTCAAAGTCCTGATCCCATGAAATTAATTTTCTATTTGACGATTTTGCTTACAACAATCACCTATATAGCGTGAACTTCACCAGTTTTCCCACAAAATAATGAAAAGGCCTTCGTTACAATGAACCGTGGGAAGCTAATTGCCACCGCGAACTTGCTTATAAACAAAATGTACAGCACGAAATTCCCCTCGACTGCTTAGCAATGCGACTGATCGACTCGTACATAGTTGTACTTCTGGAGGCATGGCGCACATGGTCTTAAAACATGTCTGGTAAACAGAAGCAAATCTCACCGTCCGTGAAGGCTGAAATTTTCTCTGACTTTCAATTTGTAGTCTCCCAGACGAAGCTCAGCCAATACTACGAATTGGCAAAGTCACCGATTTCGACAATCGTCCGTAGGAGCAACAAAATCATGGCAGAGTTCGAGGCCAACAGATTGAAAGATGATCGTAAACGGCTTTGGGGCGCAACACATCCTGAACTGGAGAAGGCACTTTTCGTTTGCTGACTGAATGTTTTCAGAGATAAAGTAGGACCGCAACAGTTGTTTGTTGCATGTCTAATAAAATCATTTTTCCTTCAAACTGTATGCACATATTTATGATTGACATGTTTACAGCGGGCGGCCTGGTAGTCCAGTGGTTAGCACGTAGACTTTACAATGCAGAGGTACGGGGTTCAATTCCAGCTTCGGCATCCCTGTGTGGAGTTTGCATGTTCTCCCTGGGCCTGCGTGGGTTTTCTCCAGGTACTCCGGTTTCCTCCCACATTCCAAAAACATGCATGGCAGGCTGATTGAACACTCAAAATTGTCCCTAGGTGTGAGTGCGGGCGTGGATGGTTGTTCGTCTGTGTGCCCTGCGATTGGCTGGCGTTCGATTCAGGGTGTCCCATGCCCGAAGACGTCTGGGATAGGCTCCAGCACGCAACGTACAGATTCGTTATGTCTCTTGAGGTACGTTCTAACGAGATTCGACTGTACTTGTTTGTTGAGGCTGAATGTACGTTTGAACCTGGAAGCTGGAAAGAAATTACCCACACGTGGATAACTAAAGTTGCCTGAATCAATGTTGACAGTTTCCTCTATCTTCTATTTTAATCGCATTCAAAGTAAATGTAAACAAAGTGAAAGACCTGGAAGGCAAGTAGGACCACTTGTTAGAATGGACAGAACAGATTTTCTTTAAAATCAAGATACATTTTATTTTGTTTTTTAAAAAACAAACATTACAAAAAAAAAATATAGAACTAATACAATGAACAAAAAAGATAAACCAAAAATTTGAGGAAGAAATAAATGCATTTCTTAAAAAAACAAACAAAAAAAAACATTTAGGTGGTGACTGCCTGGTACAAATGATTAAATGGCTACAGCGAGAATGCAAATTTTGTGCATGGTTAGAAATCTTGAAGCAGAAGAAACCAAAATGGAAGCCAACAGGATAAAATTTGGACCTTCTCTGAACAACGCACGCTGGCTTATCAAACGTAATTGTCTTTTGTAGTTGACACAGCAGACCTATCACAGTGATCTATGAAGTACATTCAACCAAATGGATAATTTCCAAAATTGCAAGCTTCAGTTTGGCTTTATTCTCTGGGTTTACTGCTCCACCCATAAAGCAGAACATAAGAATAAAACCGCTTAACCAGGAAAACATTTGCGATTTCTTAATGTAGCAAAACGGTGACATGAAAACAAATCATTTGCGTAAAATGTATGCAAATCATTCACTGCACAAGCTAAATTTAGTGTACTGTTTGTTTACACAGGACGGATTCTCTTAGTGAACCAGAAACAAATGCCAGCAGACTTGACTTGCTTCAGAAGTGTCATAGAATCTCTTCTTAGTCGACGATGGAGAAGTCAGGGTTGGCTGGGGTCAAAAGAACGAACGGGTGAAGCAGAGGGTGATATCAGATGATCATTATGGGTAGGCTGTGATCCATCCTCACGGTGAGCGAGAGAGAAAAAAAAAAAAGACAAGCACATCTAGTCCAAACCATGTAGCCAGGCCACCACAAGGACAAAAAACAAAATTAAACATGGACACTTAATGGGGAATGATCTAGTCTTCCCCAGAGGGCGCTTCCTCTTCTGAGCCACCCTCCTCCTCTTCCTCATTCTCCTCCTCCTCCTCCTCTCCAGCACCCTTCTTTGTCATCTTGGGGGCAGGGGAGATATCTTTCTTCTCAGCTTCCCCCTCCTCCTCCTCCTCCTCCTCCAAGGGACTCTCAGGATCATCCTCTTCCTCCTCTTTGGGTGAACTCTTTTCCAGAGCCTTGGTGCTGGTGTGGCCTTTCCCCTTATCTTTCATGGGGCTGGGGTTTACTAGAGAGGCGGAGGGGAGAACAATCAAAATTAATTCTCTGTGCACGATTTGTAAAATTACTGTACAGACGCTCCCCGACTTACGAACATTCGAGTTACGAACAACGGTACATACGAACATTTTTGCGGGTACGTCGAAAAATGTTCGGACAGAGATGCTGCAAGATTTTGTATTGCGTGCCTTTTTCCGAGTAATGCTTCTTTCCGCCGCTAATACCGACGTGAGGCGCTGTGAGAGGAGGAGGAGGAGGAGGAGGAAACGCCTGTCCCCATGAAGAAATTCAAGACGGAACTCTTGGCCGAGGGGTTTTCACTCATAAAACCATCGCACTCTTCAAGCAGCAAGACCCAAATATTGAACGTTGCACAAAGGTTGCAAATCAAATGAATGATGCCATACAGTGCTACTGCATCATTTATGATGAGAAAAAAAGAAAACTGTGCAATCGTCGTTAGATCGCTTCTTTCGGCCAGTTTCTACTACACCCTCCAAGGAAGATACTCGTCAACCCTCATCTTCTTCTCCTGGACCCTCAACTTCTTCCTTCATTGATGTTACGGAGGAGGAAGTAACTCTTGAAGCCCATTCCAGCGACGACGAAGACCCTCTCGGCCCCATGATATAAAATCCTCCTCTTCCTTCTCCTCCCCCTCCATCATCTCCTTAAGCCTTCGAGTACATCTTCCAAAAGTAAGTTAAACTTCATTTTATTATACTTATATAAACCTTAAACATACTTATATAAGCCTTAAACATACATTCCATACAAAATATAGCACTGAAGCAACTTACGAACGAATTCACCTTACGAACGATCGTTCGGAACGTATCTCGTTCGTAAGTTGGGGAGCGTCTGTATTGCCCAGAGATGGGTTTTGGAACTGTTTTCTTGGGCGTATGAATACATTTATGGCCTTTCAATACAGACAGTTTTGGATCTGCATTGTTTCCCCACTGATACAGCGTTGTATGACCCTGAATCAGATCATTTCTTTTTTTCAAGATAATCCACCCCGCTAACTTGGAGTCTATGAGAGTTTACATTGTGACCAAAATAAAAAGGCAAGGCAGTTTTATTTATACAGCACATTTCATACACAAGGGTACTCAACGTGCTGCACACAAACAAAGACAACACCTGTTTGCCATGGGTGGCCCTGCCAGGGCCATCAAGCCCCAGACAATTTACCTCCAGGATCATTGGGACACACAAACCACTCTACCACGCGAAGGTGATGGCTAATGGAGGGTCCTTTTATATTGTCACTAACTAAATTTAAGGGTGTCTTTGTCTCAAAAGTTGTGTAAAAATGTCAGGGATGTGTTCCTCGAGCCGGTCCTTGGCCTCGAGGACCGGCTCGAGGACCGAAGGTCGGTCCTTGGTCCTTGGCCTTGGCCTTGAGAGTCAATTCCTTGGCCTTGGCCTCGGCCTTGGGAGTCAAGTCCTTGGCCTTGGCCTTGGCCTCGGGTTGCCGGTCCTCGGACTCAATGAGGGATTAGAGCCTCGATGTCCACAGGTATAAAGTGGGACCGAGGTTCGCAAAAACCACGAAGGAATCAAATAAATTCCATCCAGTGAAACGCATATTGATGGATTAAGCTGGCGCTTTAAAAGGGGCGGGTCTGCCACTGACAGGCGAC